TGACCATTCGAAATTCTGCGACAAAAAAACGTGTATTTTATATTTCCGCATTGTATTCTGTATTCTGTGTGTACACACATGTATCGAAGTAGTATGCAATTTTTTAAGCTTGTACACGTGTACATATATATACACGATTATAATTTAAAGAAGATGATCACAATAATTAATTGCTACACTTGACCAATCGAAATTCCGCGACAAAAAATATCTGTATTTTATATTTCTGCATTACATTTGTGTGTACACGCGTGTATCGAAGTAGTATGCAATTTTTTATGCTCGTACACGTGTGCTTGTATCGAAAAGTAGTATGCAATTTTTTAAGCTTGTACACGTGTGCGTGTATGCAATTTCTTATGTTTCTGCACGTGTGCGTGTATATATATATATACACGATAATAATTAGAAGAGGAAGGGCCGACAAGAGAGGCTAGAGATGTCTTAAGGGCACGATATCAACGTCTAGGGTTCGTGATATTAATTCTTTAATAAAACGCGCCTTGTAACTTTGTTCCTCCCACCTCATCGCCAATTGGCTGCCGTCGCTACCGCGTCGCAACGTGTTGGCTCGTCTTTTGCAGAAACACCTGCAGATTATTTGTTTGAACGCCGAACGAAAGTCCTTGCTGAATAGCGCGTAGATGCAAGGATTAATAGCCGAGTTGCAATATCCTAGCCAAAATAGTACACTGAAGACGGTCGGGTGGATGCAATTTGGGCAGAACGCACGTACTAGATACATCGTGAAGAATGGCAGCCAACATAATATGAAACCACCGACAATGATGCCAAGAGTTTTAGCAGCTTTCGTCTCCATTCGAAATCTTTTAACCTGCGACAAATGTTTGTTTCCAATTTTTCTTTTTTTTGTTTGTTTCTCGTACGCCAACCTATCGCAAACTTGTTCATCATATTGATTTGATAAATATTAATATATTAATAATTAATAATTAATATTATAAATTTATGCATATTTTAACAGCGTGAAAGATTGGATGATGTTCAAGGATATTTAAGGTATATGTTAGAAATATTAATCTATTAGAATAAATAGAAAAATAATATGTGTGTTGAGAAAGAAACAACCACATGAATCTTGACATTTTCCAATTTCGATCTTTCATGGTAACATATATACATTATTAGATTGTCCCACAAGTTCTTTTCGTGCCACTCTATGTTTGTAGGCTTAGGTCAATTGAAGTTGTATCAAAAAAAAGGAAGGAACTTATAGGACAACCTGATAAAAGGGTGTAAAAGTATGAAACCGTAATTTCTATAATAATATTCCAGTTTCATATTTCTATATCTGATAAGATTTCTGTATAATTGATATATATATTAAATGAAATAATAGCAATACCTGAGCTTTTAAATTTCGTTTACCCATCCTCGTAGTAACTCTAGGTTTTTCTTCTTGGCCCTGAGCTAGTTCCCGAAGTGTAACCTCGTCACCTGTCAACTGACTCTCGCAGCTACTCCTTCTGCTAGGTCTCCTCATACTGCCCACTCTGTGTATACCACCGACCTATTCGTAAAGATCAAAGAGCAACCCGTATGACAATACTCCTACCTTTCCCGATCAAATAAAATATAGTCTCGACAAGTTGTTAATAAAAACAAAAGTAAAATATAGAAATAATATTAAACGAAATCTATACATAATAGGTTAACCTATATAACAACACGTTTATATTTAAATACACATTTTATTACAATTATATAGATTTGATTTCATTAGAAAAACCATGAAACCAAAAAAGTGTTTATTAATTGTAAAATTAAATTAAATTGTAAATAATTAAAGTGTAAATTATGTAAATTATTTAAATAATTGCAAATAATTAAAGTGTAAATTAAATTGTCCAATCCACTATGCAATTTATAACAGAATAAATTTGAGGAATTTTTGTTTAACCCGCGTAATGTTATCATTATTATTATCTTCTTCTCTGTTCTCTCGATCTTTATTTGAGGTTAAAAGAGAAAAATCGGTTTTCCCATGGTTCGTTAACGTTTATTAAATGTTCAAACAAAGATCTTGCAATGCTTACTTTCAAATGCGTACTCCTCGAACTCGGACAAAGCTGAGTCTGCGTTTGCCCGTTACTGTAATGCACGGAAACCTGAGAACACTTGGAAGGGGTCCTCTCAAGAGTGTTGCACTTAGTGTTTAATGTTTCTGTACTCGGATACGATACCGAGATCTTGATCTTTTCTTTCCTTACTGAACTGCGACTAGAATAATCCGGACTCCTTGGACTACCATTATTACTACTACCATTATGAACACTACCACGTCCACGATGTATCCTCAAAGTTAATCTTTGTTCATCGAATCTGCAATAAAACAATACAATAACGTTTCTTAATTTTTACTCTATTCGAATAATTTTTTTTTATCTTATTGCACGTAAGAAAGAAAGAAAAAAAAGAAAAGAAAAGATGTTAAACGTATGTTCATTTGTTGTTGATTTAGTTACAATACCTAGATCCTAACATTTTCGGATTCTTGGTGGTGCGAAAGCCCTGATTGATGGCTTTCGTTGTGGAAACAGCTGCATTGTAAATTCTCCAATAGAAAAAGAGCATTACTAACATCGGTATGTAGAAGGATCCTAGGGCACTGCAAACATTTACGATGATAATAATCTTTCGAATATATAACCGAAAAAGGACAAAAATAAGAAAAGGGAATTGAGGGGTTACATGGGTTTACACTGGGAATAAATAGCATATTTTCAACGATTTTTTTTTCTATATAAAAAATGGAATTCTTATTCAAACTTTTTATAGCATTTAAGATACATATTTAAAGAACATTTTCTGAATTTTTGGTTGAAAAATATTTTCAACTCAGCCATTGCGACGTCATTTTCGGTGACTCCACTGAAAAAAAGTGTTTTCGCGTTGACAG